GGCCTGGAACTATAGTTGTGTGATACTTTAGGATCCTAGACTCCCTTCTGCTCCATAATCCTTAGACCTCTCGGTCTCTTGGTTTCATGATAGCTCCTGAGCTCCAAGTTCCATTCAGGGGAAAAAAGAAAAAGAAAGAGAGAAAAAGCTTCACCAGTATTTACCTCCCTTAACTCCTTCCTGGGAATGTCTGCTTGCAGTTTTTAACTAGAACTGTGTCACATAGAGGATGTTGCCTGTAACAGTGACTTGAAAATATGGGTTTTTTTGAAGGTAGGTAGGCGGCTACCTTGAATAAAACTGGATGTGGCAGACATGTGTTCTTTGTGATTGTGATGGTAAGGTTTCTAATGTCGCATCATTAAGATGTTATTGGCTTCTTATATTGATGAAGATTCTCTCCTTGACCAAACTCTAACCAGGGAAGTCTTTTTCAACTAAGTCTCATTTTTTTTTTTTTTTTAATTTCAGGGTGTATCCTTACCTTGTCTAATTTTAGCAAGAATCCTGGTAAGTCAGTTGAACAGGAAGTCCCCATCCTCAAAATCTGATCACCCTCAATATCTAATTGAGTTTCTCTTTCTCTTCCCATTGGGGATGCCAGATCATCCCAGCCTGCCTTCAGCAGGAATCCTGTTTTGTTGGTGTAACCAGAATTCCCCCTGACCACTAATGTTTCCTCTTGGAAATTTTCTGTCTGCTGCCCCACACTTTGTTCCCTGTGTATAAATTCCAGTCTGCCCATGTTATTTTGTGGAATTGATACCTGTTCAATACTGAGGTCTCTTTCACAGTAACACAATAGTCTTAAGTAAAATCTGTTTTTACTGCTTTACCTATTGTCCAGCTCTGATTTTTCTGTGATGATATTAAGGAGATGTCTCACTTACTTTCTCACTAATAAAAGGATATCAGGAATAAAATATTTACCTGTGATGTGTTTTTCTTATTTGGTGTATTGATGTAGCTGGACTCATTACATCAGCACATATCCTAATACTAAATCATCATCGTATTTATGCCTGATGCTCTTATACTCGATTAAATTTGATTACATATTTAGATTTTTACATCATTTTTCACTAATTAAGTTGACATGTGGTTTACTTCAGAGTTATTCTAACTTAAAAAAAAACCAAAAAATCTTGCTGAGTGTGCAAAGTATCCCTGGAAATGTAATAAACTGAGGTTTATATATATTATCCTATTAAATTTAATGGCAGTTTTATGAAGTCTCTGCTTTATGCCCCTTTGTACATAACTGGTTTTGGGAAAAGTTATCTAAGGTAACCTATCCAGGAAATCCTAAGACTTTTATTCCCTAGACTAATTCTTAATTTACTTAGTACACTAGGAAGCTTTTCATCTTGTGTTCTATTGTAGAATAGTTTATATTGTGTGGGAATTATTGACTTCTCAGTAGATCGAAATAATATACCCATAATATAAATCCATGTATCCATTATCTGATTTTGTAGTCTTTTGGGGAAAGTTATTTTATGATAACTTGAAATTTTGTTTATAGATTTTTAATTTCTTCGTTGTCATTGAGATCATCAAGTTTATTAGTATAGAATTGAACATGGAACGCACACATGAAAATCACCTCTATGTTTGTGGCAGTCTCTTTTTATTAGATTTGTAAAAGATTAGAGTCACATTATCTTCTTATATTCTTATCTGTTCTCTGTCAGGCCCTGGTTCTGCCCAGGGAAACAGTCATGAACAAGATGGAGGAGTCCTACTGGGGCAGAGAAGAACCCAAACCCAGAATCCCACCCCTGCCCGGAGACTAAATAGGGAACCCAGGTCTCCCAACTCCTATGCCCTGTCCCTGGAGCCTATCTGTGATGGCCTAGCTCACTCAACAATGTTATCACCAAGGCAAACATATCCAGCCCCCATCTGGTCTTGTAACTGCCCATTCCAGAAACCTCCTTATTTCAATAAGAGAATTCTAGAAATTCTAGACCTTTGGTGGATATTAATCAACTGGAGGAAGCAGGGCTACAATTTGTAATCAGTGTCATCCAGCAATATTTCTACAAGTTAGAGGAATATCTCCAGTCCAAGGGGAGGGTCTTCTTGTGATTCCCCCCTCTGGCTAATGTTCTGTTACCTTGTGTTGGTGGATGTGCTAAGAGCTAGACATGGCTTTATCAGTTTTCTCTTTCTATTTTCACCGCATTAGACACCTAACCATCATTACTTTCTACTTCCTGCTTTCCTTAAAATACTAATTATAGTTGTTTCTCTCCCAGTATCTTAAATTAGTATGTGTTCTTTCCATATTTTGTTAATTTAAGAAATTATACAAGGCTTTGAGTATATCAAAGAGGAAGTTCAATCTTTTCTTCCCCCCACAGAAGACTTATTTAACAACCCCATAAGAAACATGATAACTTTTTGAGAATTCCAGGATCCAGTTAAGTTTTAGTACCCCAGGAAAGCAAAAGTCAAGATTAGCCTTCCTGAAATGAGTAAGAACATCACTTTTCCTTTACCTACATCAGTTCCTCTCCCAAGCCAACGCAGCTCAGCACCAAGAGAGGTCTGGACACCTCCCCGTGGTGATTATGGGAGTGGGATGAATGTCCAAGCTCCCATAATCTGTTCCTATAGCATACTCCCTACATTTCCAGTGCTCTCCCTAAGGCCCAGTCTTTGTCTCTACTCACAAAAGAGAATTGAGAGGACTGGCGTAGTTTAGACACCTCAGGGGGCCAGAGGGTAGGGTACCTTCTTACAACTGGCTTAGGAAAGGAAGGCAGAGAATTGAGGCCTTTGTTTTGGGAGAACTGGAGAAATGAAGCTTGTATCTAGAATTACTGGGATTTTTGTGTACTCCATGAGGGATTGTTTCTGCTCTATCTTACACAGGGCTCTGAATAAAGTAACATAATTAGATATCAGAGGAAAAGAAAGATTACCAATTCCTGAAGTCGGGGGGAAAGAGCACCTAGGGAAGCTAGAAATAAAGGTCTAGATCTTTTAGCCAGACTTATAGTTGAAGGCCTTTCTCAATCAATGACAGCTTATGAAAGACAAGGAAAGATAGCTGTTTCTTAGATGTGCCAACATAGAGCCACAGGAGCCTGAAAAAATCAGAAAAGCATGACACAGTTAAAAAAGCAAAATAAATCTCCAATAACTGACCTAAAGAAATGGAGATCCGTGAATTTCCTGACAAAGAATTCAAAATAATTTTAAAGAAGCTTGGTGAGTTGAAAGGAACACAGATAGTTAAATATTACTACTACTATTACTACTACTGCTAGTTAAATATTACCCTCCTCCTCCTCCTTTTTCTCATCCTCCTCCTCCTTCTCCTCCTCCTCATCCTTCTTCAAACAAAATCCTTAGGATTTTAAAAAAACCTGGTGCAAACTAGGTGTTACATGATAAGCATGCCCTCCACCAATGAGCCACGCACTCAGTCCCACAAAATAAGAACATTGAAAAAGATCAAGATGAAGATGAAGAAAGACTGAAGGAATTATGGGAATCCATCAAGCCAACCAATATACACATTATACAAAAGAAGAAGGGAGGAGGAAGAAAAATCTTATTTTAAAAAGTAGTGGTTGAAAAGTTATCAATCTTGAATGGAAAATGTACTTCAAGCTTCATGAAGTTCAAAGGATCCCAAATAGTATGATCCAAGAGAAGAGCACACTTTGTTAAATCTGTTAAAAGTTAAAGATAATTTTGAAACAACTTGTTACCTACAAGGGTGCTTCAAAGGACTATTAACAGGTTTCTCATCAGAACCTTTCAAGGTTAGAAAAGAATGAGATTGTATATGCAAAGTACTAAAAGAAAATACTACTAGGAATACTATACCTGGCAAAGCTATTCTTTAAAAATGAAGGCAGAATCAAGATTTCTCATAAAAACAAAAGCTGACTTTCATTGCTAGTAAACCTGTCTTAAAAGAAATAGTAAAGGGAATTATTCATGTTGAAAAGTATTCATACATGAAAGCATATGAAAGTATAAAACTCACTGGTAAAGGTAAATATATAGATAAATGCGGAACATTGTTACATTGTGAGGGGTGTGTAAATACTTTAGTTCTTGAATAAAACAAAATTTAAAAAAAAAACTCAAAAGGACACAAAGAAACTTTCATCGATGATGGATATTGATCATGGTGATTTTAAAGGTGTGTGCATATGCAAACTCATTAAATATGTGCAGTTTTTATATATCAGCTAAACTTGATAAAGTTATTTTTTAAAAGGCCACTAAAATGTAAAATTATACTAATAAAAAGTATAAGAAAAAGGTAGATATAATTACAACACTGAATAAGAGTGGAAACATAACAAACGTGGAGACCAGTTGGGCCTTCACCTCTTCATTGTCCCTCTTGTTTCTTGGTTCAATACTTTATAAATATTTGGGGGTTGTGGGCCCTATTTGTTTTTCAGGTTGGCTAAGATTTATAGCAACACACTGACTATTGTCTTAAAGGGGAAGATTTATCTCATTTGTATGGACCCATTTATCTTCCAAGTGAGCCAGAGAAAAAATAATTCCCTTATAAATATTTCTGAGAGTGATCTTTGTTCTAAAAGTGAAAACATAAGCAAATAAACAAACATTTATAATTGACTATGGAAAAAATCTACTTAGCCTCATAAAAAGTATTTTATGACTTCTGAAATCTAATGAACTTTCTTGGTGCAGTTACAAACTTAATAGTCTGCCTTAAATTTTTGACCCAAAACTCTTGTGAAGGTGACCAATTTATCTGAGTTTGATAAAATGACTTCCATTGTGGAAGACAGTCTTTTATATAGGAAGCAGACAGCCCTCGATGTCGGTGAGGTCCAGTGGAGAACATAACAAGCCTTAGTACTGCGTATACAGCTTCCATCCTCACCCTGGAAGCAAAAATAAACATGTGGCTAATCATTGCAGGCACTCCATCTGCACCTTAGGTACCACGGTGGTTTGTTCAGTTGAACTTTTCTTTAGCAAATAAACGTCTTACAATTTCAAATGTCCTGGCAGCCTTTAGAATTTTCAAAAGGTGGGAATTCTTCTTGGATGTCGTCAGTGTGAATATACTGGATAAAAACCAGGAGCATGGCTGCACAGGGAGCTGTCAGGATCAAATTGCATTCCGAATATAAAGAGAATAGTTGTCAATTCATACATTTCTTACTTGAAAACGTTAGGAGGCCAACATTTCTGGAGTGGATAAAATAGTTCACTTACCTTTTCCTCTTCACCAAGACACAATCAGTCTCATCATTTCAAAGCACCTGGCTCTACCATGATCCCTGTAGTTGTGAGGATCTGCTTTTGTTTGGATTTGATATAAGCAAATTGGAGAATGCTTCCCAATAAGGCTTGTGTGTTAGAAGTAATCCAACGTTGGTAATGTTCTAGTCTTTGTCTTTGCACAATGAATTCCCCTTTTCCAGGTAAGATCTGTTTTGTAAGTATAGACAGTTGTAAGGCATTGTGTCAAAACTTAAAATGCTTATGTTTTTATAATGGTAATGTGATGTGTTTCCTTACTCTGCTTTTGGTCCTGAGACCAGCTTGAGGTCAGAATCAGCAATTGGTCCTACTCAAAATAATGCCACTCTAATTTTAAAACCATTAGCAAAGGATGACTGTTTTTCTGGATCACATTCTTCTCTCTTTTTACTCTATTTTCCCTGGCAATTAGGCAATTGATCTCAAATTGTGTTTTCTACTTAGTAAAACAAAGCAAAAATTTTCCGCTTACAAAACAACAGTCTGATAGAAGCACAGAGCAAAGCATTGTGACAGGAAGCAGGTATGGAAACGATGCCATAACCTGTTCTCTATGCAATAACACCATCTTAAATGTGAAAAAGAAAAATGTGCCCAGCCAAAATAAGAAAATATACCAAAAGAGAGAGAAAACTCTTGAAATTCAGGAGATACATAATCTAAATCAGGAGATAGACAAAGAAGATTGCTAGGATAGTTAGGAAATGATGGCCTGAGATATTAGTGGTGCAATTTCAATAGATAAATGCAGAATCAAATTTCTTAGGAAAGAAGACTCCAAAAAAAATTGAAACAAATTTATTGGAATTTTTATCAGAATTGCATTAAATCTGTATAATGCTTTTGAAAGTATGGTCATTTTGATAATTTAATTCTGCCTATCCAAGAGCAAGGTAGATCTTTCCATCTTCTAAGGTCTTCTTTGATTTCTCTCTTTAGCGTTCTGTAATTTTCAATATATAGATCTTTCACCTCTTTCGTTAAGTTGATTCCCAAGTTTTTTTTTTTTTTTTTTTTTTGAGGCTATTGAAAATGAGGTAGTTTTCCTCATTTCCCTTTCTGAGAATTTGTCACTGATGTACAGAAATGCCTTTGATTTATGGGTGTTGATTTCATATCCTGCTACTTTGCTGAATTCATTTACTAGTTCTAGAAGTTTTCTGGTGGAACTTTTAAGGTCTTCCAGGTATAGAATCATCTCATCAGCAAATAGTGCCCATTTGAGTTCTTCTTTTCCTATGTGTATCCCTTTAATTTCTTTCATCTGTTTAATTGCTCTGGCTGGTGTTTCAAAACTATGTTGAATAGAAGTGGTGAAAGAGGGCATCCCTGTCTTGTTCCAGTTTTTAGAGGGAATGCCTTTACTTTTTCTCCATTTAGAATGATGTTTGCCTGGGGCTTAGCACAGATAGTCTTTATGATGTTGAGATATGTTCCTGTTATCCCTAGATTTTCTAGTGTTTTGAAAATGAAGGGGTACTGTATTTTGTCAAATGCAAATTTATTTTTGGTGAAATATTCTGACTATTGGCAAGTATGTGAAATATTAGCAATAAATATAAGTAAAAGCTAAAGACATGGAAACCCATAGGTATCTAGCATGCCCCGTGGCCCGGGTAGGGATTTCCAATTATGGAAATGTGAAGAAGCTGGTAAATCCTTTCTTACATATATATCTTGACAAAATTTTGAAAACAAAATTTCAGGGCTCTGGATATAAAACAAAAGCAAACAACAAACCGAGAGGCATTACTAAAAATACTTGGTGAATTTCAGGTAAAAGCAGAGGGATTTTTGTCCTGTTTGGCTATCTGTCCTTTAGTAGTTGCCATAGTAGTTTTGCCTCCCTGTCTACTTTTGAGTATAGGGAACTAGCCATAGAATCAGCAGCTTTATTACTAGAGGGACTGACTTGACGTGGAGTGGAGGGCAAGAAGACCATACCCAGCAGGACTGCTAGTAAGAGCAGAAATCTTAGTAGGGAAAGAATAATGAAAGCTACAACTCTCAATGCAAGACTGAGGTCGTCACACTGGACAAGGTGAGTGGCAGAACTATGAACTAACCAGAAATTTAACCAATAGATCCCCCAAATCAGAGTGCTCTGGCAGAACTAGCTGAAGTCTACACATCACTAGCTAAGGGGGAAGCCATGCATATATACAGAAAAGACCTGTGTGAGCATGACAGGAAAAGAAGGTTTAAATATTCAAAGTGCCTAAAATTTAAATGTGACCCATATCACAGACAGATCTATCAGCAGGTGTAAATCTCCCTGGCTCAAGATGTTTGAATGCAATTTCTGGCCATTGACCCCTGGCCTAGTACGATAAAAAATAAATTTAAAAAGTTGAGAATAAAAGAGGGGCTATCACTCTCAAAAATTAAAAAAATTTTGAGGAAATATTTAAAAATTCATATCAACATATTTTAAAACTTAGAAGCAAAGAATTTCTAGGAAAGATACAGACTGCTGAAACTGAGGACGAAATAGAAAATCAGAATAGACCAACACCTAAAGAAATTGAATTTGTCATTAAAAATCTACATACACAAAAAAGCCCAGACCTACATATCTTCACTAGTGAATTCTATGAAATATTTAAGTAAGAAGTAATTTCAACTCTTCATAAATTCTACCGTAAAATGGAGTCAAGTGTATGTGTGTGTTGGGTGGAGGTGGGTGTACTTCCACATGCTATGATACCAAAGTCTCCTGATGATGTCTCAAGAAAAGGAAGTTACATATTAATATCCCCAGTGAATATAGGTACCAAAGTCCTAAAAATATTAGCAAATGGAATCCAACAACCTGTAAAGAATGCACCCACCAAGTTGGGGTTTATTTATGAAATAAAGTAGTTACAACATATGAAAATAAATAAGTATACCTTATTAATAAAGCAAAGAATAAAATTCACATGGACAACACAAGAAACATGGAAAATATTTGAAAAATATCAAGAAGCCATAAATAACAAGAAGCTAGAATCAACAAATAAGTTGAAGAAAATCACAGTGTTTGGGCACAGTGGGGTGAACCTGTGGTCTCAGCGCTTGAGAGGCTGAGGCAGGGGGGTGTTTGAGCCCATGAGTTTCAGACCAGCCTGGCAAATACAGTGAGCCTTCATGTCAAATATATATTTAAAAGGAGAAGGAAAAGAAGAGAAGGGGGAAGAGGGAAGTGGGGAGGAAGAGGAAGAAAAAAGAGAAGAGGCCAGGGGAAGAGAAGGGGGCCAGAGAATACAAGAAAAGTAAGCAAAATGATTTAATATTCTAACAATGAGTGATGAAATTCCATTCCTTGTAGCATCAGTAAGAACTAAATGATCAGGAATAAATGTAACAAAAGAAATGCGAATCTTACATAAAAGTATAAAACACTGCTGGTAGAAATGAAGACAAATGAAGAGACGGGAATGTGCTTAGATTGAAAGACCAGTATTGTTCAGATAACAGTTCTCTAGAGTCAATACAGTTTCTATCAAAATCCTAGTGGATTAAGTTTTTTATTTGTTTGTTTGTTTTTAAAAATTGAAAATCTGCTTTTAAAATGATGTGAAAACACAAAGAACCTAGATAAGCCTGTACAACTTTGAAAAATAAGAACAAATTTCCAGTATTTGGAATACTCAATTATAAAACTTACTTTAAATCTACAGTAATCTATAGACTAGAATATTTGAGTGTGGATAAACATATAGATCAATAAAACAGAATTGACAGACCAGAAATAAATCTTTGAATTTATGGTGAATTGATTTTTCAGCAAAGTTACCAGGACAGTTCAATGGGGGAAGAGAGAACCTTTTCAACAAATGATTCCCAGATAATTTACATACCCATCTGTAAAAAATGAGCTTATATGATTATTTAACACCATACATATAAATTAACTCAAGACGGCTGATATATCTAAAACCATAAAACATCTAGAAGAAAACACTAAAGAAAATCCTTGTGACCTTGGGTTAAAGAATTCTTGCAGGGGGAAAAAAAGGCAGTAAGATAGACTTAAATTGCTCTATGAGTTTTCTGGGCTATATAAAAAATCATCAGAAAATTAGTGGCTAAAAACAACACATACTTATTTATTGTAACTTCTGTGAGTCTGAAGCGGGGCATAGCTTAATTAGGTCAATATGGTTGCAATCTCATCTGAGGCTAGACTAGGAAAGGTTCCTTTTCACTGGCAAGATTTGGTACTTAATGGTTGTAGGACTCATGGCATCTTGCTTCTTTCCAGGAAAGGAAGAGAGAGAGTCTGATAGAAAAGAGAGAGAGAGAGAGAGAGAGAGAGAGAGAGAGAGAGAGAGAAAAGAGGAGAGAGAGGAGAGAGAGACACACTGTAAAATGGTCCTAACTTTTATGTAATCACGTACCCAGAACCACCTCTGCTCCATTCCATGGGTTAGAGTTAAGTGATTTTCAGTACATTCAAAGGAAAGGATTATCCCAAAACACCAAGAACTAGGAGGCAGGGTTTTGAGAGCCCAGTAAGAAAATTAAAAAACAAAAGAAAACCAAAAAAAAAAAAAGAAAAATTAACTTGGATAAGATATATTTGTAAATCATACATCTCAGGAGTTAGTAAGCTGTGAACAGATTTAGCAGGCCAGATTTAGCTTGTGCCTGTGTTGGTAAGGTTTATAAACTAATGGTTTTTATAGTTCTAAAGTGTTGTTTAAAAATAAAAAAACAATATGCAGAAAAGATCCAATATGGCCCATAAAACATAAAATATTTACAATTTTTCCATTGACAGAAAAAGTTTGCGAACCCACGATAAATTTGCCAACACTTACATCCATTATATATAAAGCACTTCTCCATCTAAATAGGAAGGCAAAGAATCCATTTAAAGATGGTTGTTGTAGGCAACAATTACTCTCCCCACAACATCCATGCCCTAATCCTTGTAATCTGTGCATATATTATACAACATGCCATAAGGGATTTCTACTAGTTAAAGATGTGGATGTTAAAATAGGGATGTTATTCTAGATTATCAGGTGGCCCTAATCTAATCACACTAGGAACAGAGATAAGCTACTAGATGTTAAGAGACCTTTTTTTTTTTTTTTTACACTGGTCATGTGTTCATTTAGAAAAGAGATTTAAAGTATGAGAGGGACGTAACTTCCTGTTGTTGTAGAGGAAGCACATAGAAAGCAAGTGAAAGAACTCAAGTAGCCTTTAGAAGAATAGAATGTTCCATGGGTGACAACCAACTAGGAAACAGAGACTTCAGTCCTATGAGCACAAGGAACTGAGTTCAGTCAACAACCTGAATCAATCTGAAACAACCCAAAAGAGGATTCTTTCCCAGAACCTCCAGAAAATGAACACAGTCCTACTGATTTCCTTAATTTAGGTATTGTGAAACCCTACATGAGACCCAATTAGACGTACTTGGTCTTTTGACCTACAAAAACTGTGAAGTAATAATTTTGTATTCTTTTAATCAGCCAAACTTGTGGTAATTTCTTAAGATAGTAATAAAAGAATACTAAACTAATACAATGGGCAACAAGTTTGTATAGACATTTCATTGAAAAGATTATACTAACACTGATGTCCTTTCCGGATACTTCAAAATAATTAATCATTGGGGAAATGTGAATTAAGATGAGATATGTGACTGCATGATCAATGTAATTCTGCAACCTGTACACTCAGAAAAATAAGAAATTATATCCCATCTGATTCAAATGTATGATATGTCAAGATCATTGTAATGTCATGTGTAACTAATTAAAACAAATTAAAAAAAAAGATGAGATACTGCTGTATACCCACTAAAATGATGCTATGATTTGAAGGGCACCTAAGTTTGCTCTGTAGCTTAGCTATTGTGAGTTGAGCTGCTTATAAACATTGATGAGGCTGCATCACTGTAGTATCTTGTTTTTAAATCCTTTGGATATATATTGAGGAGTGGGATAGCTGGTTCAAATGGTGGTTGCATTCCTAGTTTTCTGAGGAATCTCCATACTGCTTTCCAGAATGGTTGCACCAATTTGCAGGCCCACCAACAATGTATGACTGTACCCTTTCCTCCACATCCTCACTAACATTTTTTGTTACTTGAATTCTTTTAAAAATATTTGTTCATTTTATATATACATGACAGTAGAGTGTATTTCAACATACTATATGTACATGGAATATAACTTCCCATTCTTGTGGTTGTACATGATGTGGATTTACACTAGTCATGTGTTCATAGATAACATAGGAAAGTTATATCTGATTCATTCTATCTTTCCTATTCCCCATCTCCCTTTCTTTCCTTGATTCCCCTTTGTCTAATCCAATGAACTTCTGTACCCTCCCTCACCTCCACCCCCTGCATTGTGTGTTAGCATGTGTATATCAGAGAGAACATTCAGGTTTTGGGGACTGATTTATTTCACTTAGCATGATAGTCTTCAGATCTTTCCATTTACCACCAAAGGCCATAATTTCATTCTTCTTTATGGTTGAGTAATATTACATTGTATATATATACAACATTTTCTTAAACCATTCATCTACTAAAGGGCACTTAGATTGGTTCCATAGCTTAGCTACTGTGAATTGCACTGCTATAAACATTGATGTGGCTGCACCACTACAGTATGCTGATTTTAAATCCCTTGGGTATATGCCCAGGAGTGGGATAACTGGGTCAAATAGTGGTTCCATTCCAAGTTTTCTGAGTAATCTCCACACTGATTTCAGAGTGGTTGCACCAATTTGCAATCTCATCAGCAATGTATGAGTGTACTCTCTACCCTACATTCTCACCAACATTTATTGTTGCTTGTATTCTTGATAATTGTCATTCTGACTGGAGTGAAATGAAATCTCAGTTTAGTTTTAATTTACATTTCTCTAAATGCTAGAGATGTTGAACATTTTTTCAAGTTTTTTGTTTTGGGTGTTAAATTTTTTTTTTAGTTCTTTCTGTATCCTGGAGATTAATGCTCATTTGAGGTTCTGGTGGCATAGATTTTCTCCCATTCTGTAGGCTCTCTCTTCACTTTCTTTTTTGTTTTGTTTTGCTTTTTTGGGGTACTGGGGATTGATCCAGTACCACTGAGCCACATCCCAAGACCTTTTTTATATTTTATTTCAAGAAAAGGTCCCACTGAGTTGTTTAGCACTTCCTGGTTGCTAAGGCGGGCTTTGACCTCAAGATCCTCTTGCCTCAGCCTCCCCAGCTATGGGATTATGGCTCTATTCATGTTTTTTATTGTTTCCTTTGCTTGTGAAGAAGCTTTTTAATTTGATGCTATCCCATTTATTGATTCTTGATTTTATTTCTTACAATTTAGTAGTCTTGTTAAGGAAGTAAGTTCCTGAGCTTGTATGTTGGAGTGTTGGGCCCATATTTTCATCTAGTATGTGCAGGATTTCTTGACTTGATTTTTTTCTCTGTCTTGGACATGTTCTCTTTCCCTTCTGCCTGTTATGATGCAGCAAGAAGGCCCTCACTAGATACTGGCTCTAAGTTCCTAAACTTCCTAGCCTCTAAAACTGTGAACAAAATAAATAAATTTCTATTGTTTGTAATTTAGACTATGGTCTTCTGTTATTGCAACCAAAATGTCAGATGACTCTAAACAAAAAGACTAAAAATATCAAGTGTTGGATAGAGATTATGAAGTAACTGTAAGTCTCATACAATGTGTGAATGCAAAATGACATAGCTACTTTAGAAAACAGACTAGCAGTTTCTTAAAAAGTTAAACATAAACTTATAAAAGCATATCAGAAAATCCATGCCTAGATATCTACCTAAAGGAAATGAAAACACAAGTCCACATTGACACTCGTACCTGTATGTTCATAGAAGCAATATTTGCAGTTGGCAAAAGATGAAAACAATCCAAATATCCATCAGCTGGTAAATGGATTAACAAAATGTTGTGTAGTTATAAAATAGAATACTATTCATTAATAAAAAGGAACAAACTGCAGATACACACTATGACATAATGAATCTCAAAATATGCTTAGTGAAATAAGCCAGACACAAAAGTATACATTTTGCATGATTGCACTTATAAGAAGTTTCCAGAAAAGGCACATTTACAGAGACAGAAAACAGATGAGTGTTTGCCTGGGACTAGGAGTCAAAGTGCAGATGGACTGTGAAGAGGCACAGGGGAGCTTTGGGGGGTGATGGAAAACGTTCCAAACCTAGATTGTGATGGTCTTATAAATTTAGAAAAATTCACTGAATTGTCCACTTACAAAGGGTGCATATTATCGCATATGAATTGAACCTAAATAAAATATGGTAATAATCAACCTCAGTGAAAATATAAGAAATGAAATGTAATCATAGTATGGTGTGCAGCTGTAAGTAATATTTACATAGACATAAAGTGACTATTGATTTAATCTGAAAAATAAATTCAGGTGCATTTGCATCATGGAAAAGAAAACTCAAAAGGTGATGAGAGTATAAGAGAGTATAATGCTCCACTACTTAATAGGAAATAGTCAAATAATGCCCTAAATTGACATCTAGACATAATATAATATACATATTATTTAAACATACAAAGTTAGGGAAATATCTGAAAGAAACAGCTTCTAGAATCAAAGTGATTGCCTCTAAAATCACTAAGCAGGGAGTAGGAAAAAATGGACAGAGTTTTGTTATAAGCGTTTTATTATAATTTGACACTTTAAAAAACATTGTCATATTCTTCTTAATGAAAACAAGGACAACTTTAAACCAAACACCCAAGCGTTCTTATTTTTCCTTTCTTGTTTCTATTTCTATTTCATTTTCTCCTCTTTTTTGTCTGCAAGATTTCCTTAACATTTCCTAAATTTTATTTAATAATAAATCTATTGAGCTTCGAAGATACATTTATGCCTCATGTTTTCAACTCAATGACCTTTTTGTGTTCTTGCAATGTTCCTGTTTAGAGTGCCTTATTACCTGCTCTTGCCTCTTGCTTCTTCAACATTATTGCATATTTTTAGGAGTTATTTTCCCTGTTTTTTTCTTATCCAAATTATTTCCCTGTGTTTTATTATCCAAGTACTTTTTCCCCCCTGTATTCTTGGTCTCTATTATTCATGTTGCAGGGTTCCCTCAGCTGTCTGGGAATCTTGGTAGTCCATTATATTTAAGAATATCAGACTGTGATAGATCTTCAGAGAATAAACTCCCAATGTTTTGCCATGGGGGAGAAATTTGCCCAGCTTCACAGATTAAAATTGAAGATCTCTTCCGTTTCTTAAATTGCCCTTAACCAATTCCCCTTATGTCAGCACCCAATTTCTGGAAGTACTTGTTTCTTCCTACCTGAGACTTTGAGAGATTCTATGAGTAAAGTTAGACTTTCTCATTTACCAGATTAGGATTCATCCTTTTCCTAGTCCTCTGAATTAGTTATCACTGTTCCATCTGCTTTTCCTTTTCCAAAATATTGCTGAAGTTATATCTTCTCCTGTTCTCTTCATAAGTGGAGATTTATGTCTTTAAAAGCAAAAATCCCCCCCTTTTTTTTTTGCCATGTGAGTGGAAGGGAGCAAACATTGCAGGCCTATATTCAATCTGCCATCTTTATCTGTACATCTGACATAAGCTTTTTGAATGCAGGATCATTTTTAATGTTGCATAAGCAAAGAAACATTTTTTCAATTTTTAAGGTAAATTACTAAGTGATTTTTGAAATGGACATCCTTATCCTAGACCACAGCATCCCAACTCTCATGAAAAGACTTGGGGTTGAGGAAGGTTCAATCTGAGGATGAGGGAGGTTGGGTAGGCTGGGTTAGTGCATATGGCATTAGGCAAGGGATGAGGTGGGTGCTAGGCAACATCCACAAGAAAACTGCATAAAACATAGAATCACATGTCTGTTTAATCACAGAATTTTTCCAGACCATTCTGGCAAAATATATGCTCATTCTCTGAGAGTTTACTCATATCCTATGTGGTATGCATGTCAAATCTTCCCAATTCTCTCTTAAAACAACAATAGTCATATTCATTTAATTTTACAAAATACATACATTTATCAACTAATATTGATGGTACATTCTTTTCCATTGGAAAATTTAAATGAACCCTCTGCTTTTGATAGTCTTTTTGATTATGATTCCCAAAGCAGAGTTTGAATAATTCAGAAATGCATTTCTTAATTTATCCCGACTGATGATATAAATAGGGAAAATCTTTCCACCCACCACCAGTGAAAAGTATTTTGTTTTCACATAGGGGTATTATGAATTTGTTTCTTTTTATGTAAAGTTTTAATTGTGATTATTATAAAATGTCTATAAAGTAAGGGATATTTGTGTTATAATATGTAGTCTTGTTCTCAGCTCCAGATTATTTGGAGCAATCTCAAATAATTTTTTTCC